CTGGGCGTATATGAGAACTAATAACATCTTTCTGCAAAGTCATTCCAGCCAGCGAACCTGTTATTATATACGAAACCTAACATTTGCATATCAGCACCCAGTAAGGCCATGTAATCATTAATAAGGGCGTATCATTATTTTTCTTCATCAATGGAAAATTCCGATATAGGGGATAACTGTCAGGAAGCCAGGGGTGTTACCTCTTCTCAGGGCCAACGGGCACGGTGCAGGGAACAGGATCTCCTCCAGCCTGGTAGAACTCCTGGTGCCGGGGGTTGCGGGTGCGCATGCACCAAATGCGCTGCGGGGGCGCGTGCCCGGCGCTGCGCGCGCGTAGCGCACCTGCTCCCATTAGGACTTTAAGGTGTGGGCCTTGCTGGGGGAGGTTCCCAGCACACACCTTCCACCTCTCTTGCCTGCCATTGGCTCCTGGGGAGGGAAGCCTCCTGGTTGCCTCGGTGACCAGGGGGTGGTCTTACATCCCCTGGCTATAAAACCCTGGCCAGAGCCTTGGCTTGTTGCTGAGTTATTCCACCCTACGGTGTGATCACCTAGCTCCCTATCTGCGTATCTTGCCATTGCTTCCTGACCCCTCATCTGGACTTCCTGTTTGCTGAACTTGGACTGATTATCGCCTCTGAACCTTTGCTGCCCGCCTCGACCCGGATTGGACCTTGACTACCCCTTTGGATTGCCCCTTTGTACTTCTGCTCTCTGACTCTTCAGGCCACTTCCTGCCAGTGGGTTCCCCTCCATGCTTCCAGCCCACAGGCACATCTTGACAATAACTGCTGGAATGGCTTCTCCATATACCACGAGGAACATGAAGTCAAACGCCAACACCCATCAGCCCCCCAGAGAGAATAAATATCTGTTTTTGGAAGGAGAGTTACTATTATTTCCATTATTTCCTGTGCAAAACATGTCAGTGTTTACAGAGCGACGTGTTCCTTTCTCCGTGACTCCAATCAATCTCCCTTTGTAATGCTCACAGATTCGCCTCCCTGCTTTGACTTCATTGTTTCCTCTCTCCACGGAGTTTTGCAGAAAAGATAACAATTATTTCTTCCCTTTCTCTACCTCTCTGCTTAAGTGGCAGAAATATTGATGCGGATATGATCTGCACAGCTCGGGCCCGGGCTCCGCTTCCTGCGGAATTAAGGGAGAGGAGCGCGGGTGATGGAAAGGCACGCCAAGCTTCAGATACACTCAACATAAACTATTACAAACACGACACGGGCAGAAATTAATCCCGGCAATGGCACCGTCTGACAATAACAACCGAAACGTGAAAGGGGGGGCGTCAGAGAGAGGGGTTCAGAAAAACAAAATCGGTGATCTCGTCAGAGAGTGATTTATGAGTGGCACCAGGGCGATCCGTCAGTGTCGTGTCTGTTGCTGGGCGAACACTCACCATCCGCGGGGTGTAATTAAAGGAACAAGCTTAATACACAATCCGCAATCATATTCCTACAATGCTGGGCCCAACCAGTCCTGATTTATTGTAATTTTCCTATAGTGACATGGAGAGCAACAAACCCAATTCTGTTCTAAGAAGGTTGTTTCTGTATGACATTGTCAGTGACCTTGGGATCAGATCTATCTATCTATCTAGTATCTATCTATCTATCTATCTATCTATCTATCTATCTATCTATCTATCTATCTTTCCATCTTACTTTCACCCTTCCATTTTAAAGGGTGAAAGTAAGATGGAAAGATAGATAGATAGATAGATAGATAGATAGATAGATAGATGTCCTCCCTTATTTACTTCCTTCCTTCTCTCTCTTCCCTCCATCCTTTTCTTCTTTCCTCTATCTTGTTTCCATTCTTTTTATTCAGATATTAATCCACCATTGCCCTATCTATCTATCTATCTATCTATCTATCTATCTATCTATCTATCTATCTATCTATCTATCTATCTATCTATCCAGTGTATCTAACGCCCTTCCATTTTAAAGATGCAACAATGTCCTTCTTTCCTTCCTTACTGCTGTCTTTCTTTCTTTCGCTCTTTCTTTCTTTCTTTCTTTCGCTCTTTCTTATCTAGCACCTCTTATAAAAACCTGATTCCCTTCCTTCATAATCTAACCTGTAAAGTGGGCCTTTGATGCTTCATCACCCAACGCATAACCCTCTCTTTCTTTCTTTCTTTCTTTCTTTCTTTCTTTCTTTCTTTCTTTCTTTCTTTCTTTCTTTCTTTCTTTCTTTCTTTCTTTCTCTCTTTCCTTGGTAAAAGATTTCCCAATTTAATAACTGAATATTTAAAAGATTAACAAATGCCCCTTCTTATTTCCTTCTTTACTTCCTTCTTTCTTTATTTCTCTCCCTTTCCTTTCTTTCCCTTCTCTATCTATCTATCTATCTATCTATCTATCTATCTATCTATCTATCCATCTAATATCTATCTATCTATCTATCTATCTATCTATCTATCTATCTATCTATCATCTATCTATCCATCTAATATCTATCTATCTATCTATCTATCTATCTATCTATCTATCTATCTATCTATCTTAGGCACCGCTGCTCCAGATTTTGTTTGCTCCAGTTTTTATAAATTCCCCCCATGTCTTATATTTAAACAATATTTGCTTATCCCGGAGTTCAGCTTTAATATCACCTGAGCTGTATCTCCCTCTTAGGCTACTACACTCCGCTCCTGCACCAAAATCAAAAAGTTATTTATTAAGTTGGTGCCAAATGAGGACTCCAGCCCAAAGGATAAAATTCAAAATATTTACAACCACTTACAAAGCCATCCACAACTCTGCCCCCGGCTATATCTCCAGCCTCGTCTCAAAGTATCACCCAAACCGTCCCCTCCGCTTGTCCCTAGACCTCCTGCTCTCTAGCTCCCTCCTCAACTCCTCCCATGCTCGCCTCCAGGACTTCACTAGAGCCTCTCCCATCCTATGGAACTCTTTACCCCAACCTGTCCGTCTATCTCCCACTCTGGCTGCCTTTAGGCGATCCCCTTAAGACTCATCTCTTCAGGGCAGCCTATCCCACCTCAACCTAACCACACAACCATCACATTCTCAGACAATTCATCCCCACACAGCTCCCTCCTCATGTATCACTGGCCCCTCCCTCTTAGACTGCAAGCCCTCAGGGGCAGGGCCCTCCTTACCATCTTGCCTTGAATTGTATTGTGATTGTAATGTCTTCCTTATATTGTAAAGCGCTGCACAAACTGTTGGCGCGATATAAATCCTGTATAATAATAATATACATTTCCAGATGTAGGACACCGGTGTATCTCTGCGCACTTCTCACTGAACAGTTACATTGTATGAGATGATTCTGTGCAGTCCGTTATTGATCTGCGGTGAATGTGACTATCCTGGGCCTCTCGGCTTTGTTCTCCGAGCTCTGCGCTCCCTGCGGGGGACTCTCCCGGCCCTCACTCTCTATAACCTGTATCGATGTAACAATGTGATACATCATTTACTACCACCTAACAATTGTCTGCTCCTAAATACTTTGTATCTGATTCCACCAATACACCCCGAGACACCGGAGACGAAGAGCCAGCCATGACTCAATGAGACGCTCTTCCTTTATTGATGGTTCCCAACGTCGCATCTAATCAGACTCTATCAATGTACACATCCGCTCCATGGATGATCTGCGGAAACATCCGAGTGTAGACAGCGCTGAGAGTCTACGCTGTGCGGGTTGTGTCATGCTGAGAGAAGGATGCAGAGAAAATGCACACAGGAAGTCAGAGGTGCGAGCGAAAATAACTTCCCTTCAGGAGATGTATACTGTGTGTGAATGACATAATGTATGTCAAAGCGTGGGGAGAGTGCAATATGGTCATCGTTTCTATAGTATCTATCTATATATCTATTGATCATTCTGATCAATCAATCAATTAGTCTTTTTAGATCTATCCATCTATCTATCTATCTATCGATCCATCTATCTATCTATCGATCCATCTATCCATTAATCTATCGATCCATCTATCCATCCGTCTATCCATCCGTCTATCGATCTATCCATTCATCTATCCATCCATCCATCTATCCAGCCATCGATCTATCCATCTATTGATCTATCTATCTATCTATCTATCTATCTATCTATCTATCTATCTATCTATCTATCTATCTATCTATCTATCCATCTATCTATCTATCCATCAATCTATCTATCTATCTATCTATCTATCTATCCATCAATCTATCGATCTATCCATCAATGTATTAGTTATCTATCCATCCATCTATCCATCCATCCATCTATTAATCTATCGATCTATCCATCAATCTATTAGTTATTTATTATCCTATGATCTATCGATCGATCCATCCATCCATCCATCCATCCATCTATCCATCCATCCATCTATTGATCTATCTATCTATCTATCTATCTATCTATCTATCTATCTATCTATCCATCCATCTATCCATCGATCTATCCATCTACCCATCCATCCATCCATCCATCCATCTATCCATCTATCTATCCATCAATCTATCCATCCGTCCATCCATCCATCCATCCATCTATCCATATAGTGATCTATCTATCTATCTATCTATCTGTCTTGATGTAGAATAATTGATTGTTGATTTTCTCTCTGCTCACGTAGTAGAACTATTTGATTTCTGTAATATGTTTTTGCTAAAATGTGAAAGTATGACATAACGTATGACTATGTACAAGCGTGAGGCAAATGTGTCTGACCCACGAGGTCAGGGAGTCAGGCTACTCCTCTATGGCCAACATAGAAAATATATATATATACCCCCTACTGTACCCCATCCCCCCCATGGCAGTTTATGTAATAAGAAAAAGGTAAAAGATCAGAATGATTGGCAAGAGACTGCAGTCCTGCTCAGAAGCACAGCAAAGCATCTGATTGTAAAACGTTCTTATAAAATAAATATTCAAATAAAAAAATGACTTTCTGTATTTAGAACAATTGATTTTTTTTCATTTATTGATCTTGCATTTTGCTTCCCTTCCTCTTCCAGATGTTACATAGAAGACAGGAGCTCCAAGGTGGCATGGTTGAACCGCTCAGGCATCATTTTCGCCGGACAGGACAAGTGGTCCCTGGACCCTCGGGTAGAGCTGGACAAGAGAAGCGTGCTTGAGTACAACCTGCGCATCCAGAAGGTGGACGTCTTTGATGAGGGACCCTACACCTGCACTGTGCAGACCCAGCACCACACCAAGACCACCCAAGTCTATCTGATCGTGCAAGGTAAGGAAACGGCGGCTTGTGATTGGTGGACAGAAACCACCGTAGGCACCAATCGGATTTCAGAGCTGATTGTGCGTTCATACGCAGTGAAGAGAAGGTGTGCGGAGATTGGAGAATTGTTTCTTTACTTGCTTGAGAGTCTTAATATCATCATCCCCGCAGAAAATGTGTTCAATGTTTGAATGTCGTCATTATTGTCAAAGTGCGGGAAGAGTACAACATGGTCATCATTTTATCTGCCTGGTTTTATCGCTTATATTTTTATATTATATTCTCTCTCTCTCCCTCTCTCTCTATATATATCTCTCTCTCCCTCTCTCTCTCTCTCTCTCCCCCATATCTCTCTCTCCCTCTCTCTCTCTCCCCCATATCTCCCTCTCTTTTTCTCCCTATCTCTCTCTCTCCCTATCTCTCTTCAGCCTCTGCTCCCGCCTTGCTCTTCAGTGCTTCAGCCCACTAAAAAGCAAAGCTCCGCCCCAGAAAAAGGAATGTACCAAATATAAATTGCACAGGGGGGTCGGGGCTGGGACTATGGCAATTGGACCGCGGCCATGGCGGACCCTGAAAGGTCCAGTCACGGACACCAGTGCCCGTGTATGGACACCTTGCCGATCCCTGTATATTATCTATCTATCTAGCTATGTTTTTTTACAAAAGTGGAGTTTTCCTTGAAGCCTTCCAGCGACCGCAGTGAGTGAATGGCAAACGTAGTTAACAAACGCAGCATTGTGCTTCCCGAGGAGAGGCGTCAGTCATAGCCGTCCTCATAGTCATGATGTTTGTTTGTGAGCCGGTTAAACAGCTCGTGCATTAAGATCTCTATGAATGCATGGACAAAAGGTCCGAAAGCTCAGCCGTGAGATGTACCAAGCTGGTAGATGGAGTACAAAAGAGGCATACAGGCCTTTATCCTTACAGCGATGGAGCAGTTTACACGTCTTCTCACATCAATAGATCCATACATTGATTCCCTTGTACCATAATCTATTATCTCTCAGTGCGAGGATCCGCTTACATTACGGTTGCCTGGTGATCGGGCTAACATGTTATACTGCAGTAAAAACACATCCTATTCATCATTTGAAATACATCAGTAAGTTTGCACGGTTGTATGTCTACGGGCACAAAAAAGGAAAAATTAGGATATATGTCCCACAGAGTGATAACGTCAGGTTACTATGTATATAGGCGAACAAGCAAATATGAACATATGTAACTCTTCTGGGCCGTCGCTACGTCTGATAGGATATCATTACAATGTAGCAATTTTCTTTTCAATGGTATTTATTATAATATATAATGGTATATAACAAAAAAAAAATTATAATAAGAACAATACAAAAACAGAACATAATCAAATGCAGCAAAGATCAATAGAAATACTCAACCCCATACAAGTATTCCATTAGATGCAGTGTACTTAATGAGAATATGTGCTGAGCATTGTTACTGTGAAATAGCAATGCGATAAAAAGGATTATAACAAGAACGTTGGATGTGTAAAGTCGGCGGGTGTGAAGATAAGTCACCAGCACTCCACAATTAGAAGAATACACCGGCGGGACTACCAGAGTCGCGGGGTCACATATGCCACAGGGCCCTGGTAAGGAGGAGGGAAGGGAGTGCTGACGGCCACCATCATCACCATCTGTATCATGTGACCACACAACTGTCATATTTCACAACATGTGTGCCCCCCACAAGTACCCATATACACACCCCTTCTTCTCCTATACCTGATCCCCTGTGTATACGCAAACCTTTTTCTACAATACCTGATCATTTGTGTATTATCTCCGCTTCTTCTCCCTTACCTGATCCCCTGTGTACATGCACCCCTCCTTCTACAATACCTGATCCCCTGTGTACACGCACCCCTCCTTCTACAATACCTGATCCCCTGTGTACACGCACCCCTCCTTCTACAATACCTGATCCCCTGTGTACACACACCCCTTCTTCTACAATACCTGATCCCCTGTGTATCACACCATCTTCTTCCATACCTGATCCCCTGTATATTATGTCCGCTTCTATTACAATACCTTATCCCCTGTGTATATGCACCCCTTGTGCTACAATAACTGATCCCCATGTGTATCACACTATCTTTTTCCATTCCTGATCCCCTGTTTATTACCGCCCTTTTTCTACAATATCTGATCCCCTGTGCATCATCCCTTCTCTCATACTTGATCCCCAGGCCCTGGCGCTCTGCCACTTGGGTTGGGAGGGTACCGGAAAGGAAGAAGAGGGTCCGGCACTAGTAACCTCCTGGGATGGCTAACAAATAAACCACTGACAACTCAGGAACAAGAGTCAACCACTGACACGTCAATGACATTGGGGCCAACCATTAGTGTGTAAGGGGAAGGGACTTTTTATTCTTTTGCCTACACTACATGTTGTCAATATTTCAGTG